TCCTTCCTTCCTTCCCTTTCCCTCCCCTTCATTACTCTCTCCCCTTCCTTCCTTCCTTCCTTCCTTCCTTCCTTCCTTCCTTCCTTCCTTCCTTCCCTTTCCCTCCCCTTCATTGCTCTCCCTCTCCCCTTCCTTCCTTCCCCTCCCCTTCATTACTCCCTCTCCTTCCTTCCTCCCTTTCTTTTCCTTCCTTCCTTCCTCCCTTTCTTTTCCTTCCTTCCTCCCTCCCTCCCTCCGGTTAGAATGTAGTATTTCAGGCTAAACTCTGCCGACTGCCAGGAGTTCGATCCTGACCGGCTCAAAGTAGACTCAGCCTTCCATCCTTCCAAGATCGGTGAAACAAGGACCCAGATTGTTGGGGGGCGGGGGCGGGGGGTGTCAACAGGCTGACTCTGTAAACCGCTTTAGAGAAGGCTGTAAAGCCCTGTGAAGCGGTAGAGAAGTCCAAGTGCTATTGCTATTAAATGCCACCCTTTCTCCAAGTAGAGGGGGGTCCCCTCCCCCTTGAAAATTCCTTCTTCTCCCCCCCCCCCAAAACCCCACCTACCACTCCTTCCGGGTCGACAAGGAGCAGGTGTTTCGGCTGTCCTCCCTGCAGCCCGGTGAGCACATACTGGCCCGGCGTGGTGGTGCTCTCCCGCACCAGGAAATCCCCGTTGACTTGCAGCAGCTTCTCCGACTCTTTCCGGCTCATCTGTCCGTGATACCATGGTTCCCGGCGGAGTTGCTCCTCCATGCTAGCTGGCGGTTGGGAGGGAGGAGCGGCGGGCGGCAGCGGCGCCCTCAAGGCGTCCTCAAAAGGCTCTGGGGGAGCGAAAGCCGCCGTTAGGCGCCATCGGCAGCCGAGACCGTTCCTTGCCTCTTCTTACGACCCACGACGGCGCATGAAATTTCTGCCGCTAAGCGAGTCAGCCTTTGCCCCCTTTCACCACCTGCCTTCCTACAGCCCTGAAGGGAACCGCCGCAGTTGGGAAGTTAGCAACACGGGTTGTTAAAGTGAATTCCCACTGACGGCTTGTCAGAAGCAGATCACGTGACCGTGGGACAGGGCCACCGTCATAAAACTGAGTCAGTGGCCCAGTGTCTGAATTTGGATCCTGCAAATGGGGGAATGGACGCTGCAGGGTTGGAAGGGCGGAAAACGGCCCTACGTCATTTTTTTTTCAGCGCTGTTCCAACTTGGGACGGTCACTAAACGAACCGTTGTAAGTCCGGGACAACCTGCAGAGCAACTGGGGGATTCCCTCCTTCCCTTCTGCTACTCACTCATGTCAAAGAGGTCTCTCTGGATGCTGCCGTTGGACGTCACGCTCGGGAGGCCCGGCTGCAACTTCTCCAAATTTTGCACGTTCACGTAGGAAGGGTCCACCAGGAATTCTGGGCGCCCAGGCGGGCCCCGATCCCTGCCTGCAAGGGGGGGACAGGGTGGGATCAGAAACTGCCCCCCAAAGACAGAGCACCGGCTTGTGAAAACTGCCTGTGAGACTGGGGGATTCTGGGAGTTGAGGTCCACACCACTTAAGAGTTGCCCTGGTGGAGAGGAGAAGGTTGTTGACAGCCTCCTTCCTTCGCTTTGATTCCACTCGCTAGACGTCAAAGTAAAGAGGGCTTTATTGCATTGTATTTATTTATCAAGTTTACTCGCCACCCGCCTTAGCTTTCAGGTTTCTAT